TTTTGAATAAGAAATGATTTTGTATAGAACTGTAGAATCATCTAACCAATAACACTAAATTTTAATAAAAATATAATAGTAAGTTATAAAGCAATAACGCTAAACTTGAAAATTTTAAAAATTATTATAAACTCAATTCCTACTAACATCTTTAAGCGTTCATTTTTCAAATTTCACACCTACTTAAAAAAGTTTAAATCTGTGTTTTAGTTTTAATAGTCTTTGTAAACATAGACTCTAGCTAATGACCATTTTAAGAATACTAAGAACAAATCTACTATAAATAAAAGGGGAAAAAAAAGCCATGTGAGCTATGCCACATCTGCAAAAATAATTGTAAAATAGGAACACAGAGTTTCGCCATGTCATTGACACTCTTTAGACATTTGGGCTTCAAATCTCCCTGGACCAAAAGCGTTCAATTTCAAACAGCCCGTTAAGCCCATCTGACGCTGAAGTCTCCTTTCCCCTGCCTCCCACAAAATCAACAAGAACTGTAACGCCTCCTCTCCTCCTCTGCTTCTCTTCTCCGTGAAGTAACTAAGCACCGTGATGCCTTCACTCCTGCTTCGTCACGGCTCTGCTCCTCTCCGCGTCTCTGCTCCTCTCCAACTGTCTCTCACTCTCACGTCTGTTTTTCTCTTTTTCACCTATCTCTGCTCCATGTATCTCCACTCTCGCGAGATCTCTGCTCATGTCTCTCTTCCCCACTACCAGGGCTGTCAATGGTAACAAATCCCGTCCTTTTTAGATCTACAAATATTTAACTTTCTCATCATCTCTCTTCTGTGTGGCTTTGATTTTGTTGCAGGTTGAATAACAACCGAAGGTTGAAACTGAGTACGGACAGTGGAGGCTTTGATTTTATTGCAGTGTAAGGGCTACGGTTCAAACCATAGTCAATCTTTTGCAGGTTAGATTGTAGATATACTATAAAAAAAAGGGGCAAATAAAGCCATGTGAGCTATGCCACATCTGCAAAAATAATTGTCCAATAGGAACACAGAGTTTCGCCATGTCATTGCCACTCTTTAGACATTTGGGCTTCAAATCTCCCTGGCCCAAAAGCGTTCAATTTCAAACAACCCGTTAAGCCCATCTGACGGTGAAGTCTCCTTTCCCCTGCCTCCCACGAAATCAACAAGAACTGTAACGCCTCCTCTCCTCCTCTGCCTCTCTTCTCCGTGAAGTAACTAAGCACCGTGATGCCTTCACTCCTGCTTCGTCACGGCTCTGCTCCTCTCTGCGTCTCTGCTCCTCTCCAACTCTCTCTCACTCTCACGTCTGTTTTTCTCTTTTTCACCTATCTCTGCTCCATGTATCTCCACTCTCGCGAGATCTCTGCTCATGTCTCTCTTCCCCACTACCAGGGCTGTCAATGGTAACAAATCCCCTCCTTTTTAGATCTACAAATATTTAACTTTCTCATCATCTCTCTTCTGTGTGGCTTTGATTTTGTTGCAGGTTGAATAACAACCGAAGGTTGAAACTGAATACGGACAGTGGAGGCTTTGATTTTATTGCAGTGTAAGGGCTACGGTTCAAACCATAGTCAATCTTTTGCAGGTTAGATTGTAGATATACTATAAAAAAGGGGGCAAATAAAGCCATGTGAGCTATGCCACATCTGCAAAAATAATTGTCCAATAGGAACACAGAGTTTCGCCATGTCATTGCCACTCTTTAGACATTTGGGCTTCAAATCTTCCTGGCCCAAAAGCGTTCAATTTCAAACAGCCCGTTAAGCCCATCTGACGGTGAATTCTCCTTTCCCCTGCCTCCCACAAAATCAACAAGAACTGTAACGCCTCCTCTCCTCCTATGCCTCTCTTCTCCGTGAAGTAACTAAGCACCGTGATGCCTTCACTCCTGCTTCGTCACGGCTCTGCTCCTCTCCGCGTCTCTGCTCCTCTCCAACTCTCTCTCACTCTCACGTCTGTTTTTCTCTTTTTCACCTATCTCTGCTCCATGTATCTTCACTCTCGCGGGATCTCTGCTTATGTCTCTCTTCCCCACTACCAGGGCTGTCAATGGTAACAAATCCCCTCTTTTTTAGATCTACAAATATTTAACTTTCTCATCATCTCTCTTCTGTGTGGCTTTGATTTTGTTGCAGGTTGAATAACAACCGAAGGTTGAAACTGAATACGGACAGTGAAGGCTTTGATTTTATTGCAGTGTAAGGGCTACGGTTCAAACCATAGTCAATCTTTTGCAGGTTAGATTGTAGATATACTATAAAAAAAAGGGGGCAAATAAAGCCATGTGAGCTATGCCACATCTGCAAAAATAATTGTCCAATAGGAACACAGAGTTTCGCCATGTCATTGCCACTCTTTAGACATTTGGGCTTCAAATCTCCCTGGCCCAAAAGCGTTCAATTTCAAACAGCCCGTTAAGCCCATCTGACGGTGAAGTCTCCTTTCCCCTGCCTCCCACGAAATCAACAAGAACTGTAACGCCTCCTCTTCTCCTCTGCCTCTCTTCTCCGTGAAGTAACTAAGCACCGTGATGCCTTCACTCCTGCTTCGTCACGGCTCTGCTCCTCTCCGCGTCTCTGCTCCTCTCCAACTCTCTCTCACTCTCACGTCTGATTTTCTCTTTTTCACCTATCTCTGCTCCATGTATCTCCACTCTCGCGAGATCTCTGCTCATGTCTCTCTTCCCCACTACCAGGGCTGTCAATGGTAACAAATCCCCTCCTTTTTAGATCTACAAATATTTAACTTTCTCATCATCTCTCTTCTGTGTGGCTTTGATTTTTTTGCAGGTTGAATAACAACCGAAGGTTGAAACTGAATACGGACAGTGGAGGCTTTGATTTTATTGCAGTGTAAGGGCTACGGTTCAAACCATAGTCAATCTTTTGCAGGTTAGATTGTAGATATACTATAAAAAAGGGGCAAATAAAGCCATGTGAGATATGCCACATCTGCAAAAATAATTGGCCAATAGGAACACAGAGTTTCACCATGTCTTTGCCACTCTTTAGACATTTGGGCTTCAAATCTTCCTGGCCCAAAAGCGTTCAATTTCAAACAGCGCGTTAAGCCCATCTGAGGGTGAAGTCTCCTTTCCCCTGCCTCCCACGAAATCAACAAGAACAGTAACGCCTCCTCTCCTCCTCTGCCTCTTCTCCGTGAAGTAACTAAGCACCGTGATGCCTTCACTCCTGCTTCGTCACGGCTCTGCTCCTCTCCGCGTCTCTGCTCCTCTCCAACTCTCTCTCACTCTCACGTCTGTTTTTCTCTTTTTCACCTATCTCTGCTCCATGTATCTCCACTCTCGCGGGATCTCTGCTCATGTCTCTCTTCCCCACTACCAGGGCTGTCAATGGTAACAAATCCACTCCTTTTTAGATCTAGAAATATTTAACTTCCTCATCATCTCTCTTCTGTGTGGCTTTGATTTTGTTGCAGGTTGAATAACAACCGAAGGTTGAAACTAATACGGACAGTGGAGGCTTTGATTTTATTGCAGTGTAAGGACTACGGTTCAAACCATAGTCAATCTTTTGCAGGTTAGATTGTAGATAGTTAAAACTATGATTGAATCTTGATGAGAGGAAGTAAATCAGCTGCTAATAAGAGTTTAAATTTAATGTATGAACGTTGAGTTGTTAGATTAGTCTTTAGTGTTCATCTATAGTTGATACATCATCTGAATGTCTTGATGTAAAATAGGATTTACTCATGTGTATACTAATTGTTTGTCGTTCCTGTTTATTTTTGTGTCTAACTACTTTGAATACGTTTTGTGTGAGTGACAGGCGTTGGATGAAAAAAATGCTAATTTTCAAAAAGAAACGCAGGAAGGAGAGGAGAACCACAAGGCATCGACAGGTATAAATTTACAACTGCGTTTACTTGTTTCTGCTTTCTGGATTGTACCTTTCTTAGAGCTCTTTCCCTGGAGTATGTTTGTTAGTTTTGATTATTTAAACACTTATGTACAGGAATTGACAAAGTTGAGAATAATCGATATACAAGGAATTGAGAAACCAGAACCGAAGATTTTCCATAAGCCTTCCAAGGCGGCTGATACAGAGCAACCAGAGGCTGATGGGGTTTGCAACAATACCTACCATGAGGAAACTGAATCGCATATGAGTCACTTTGAGAATTCACTTTGAAATTTACAGATATCCACCTTGGTACTGTTTTTTTCTTTTTGCTGTGTATGTTTTGACGACATCAAATGAGTTGAATTTTTGAAAACTTTGGTTACAGGGGTGATGTGGTTTCGATAGAGACATAGTGTCAGAGTGAAGGAAGGATAGGGACAAGGCGTGATTGGATTCTGCTAACGGTGAAGCCACTGGCCGGGCTACTAGGTTTCCTTCTCATCATTGTTTGCTTTCTCCATTGGTTTGTGCAATGGAATTAAATTTTCTTATGTTAAATATATAAGTTTCAGGATACGGTGTTCCCAATGGAAGCTACGTGATCAAAAGTATTCTTTGAAGAGGTTATTATATAAGATGGTGTACGAGGAAGATCAAGACAAGGGGTTACTACGCAAGACCAAGGTTTTCTCATTGTTACACCTGATGGTTTCTGTTTATCAAGAGAGGTTACTGCGGAAGATAATTTTGCAGAGCTTGAGCTTTGTTTGCTTCTCTTCAGGGGTGCGGTACCGAGTGGTAAAGTCTTACCTTCTGGTTGTTTGCTCAAAAATGACTATCCATGATTGCTTGAGATAACAATATCGTTCATCTCTCCATCACCTTTTCTTTTTATATTGCATCAGTATTTGCATTCACAAAAGAACCATACTCTTCTCTCGAAGAAGCTTTTTGAACATCCAAGTTCTGGAGTACTCTCTTTTATAGATGAGACCAGCTTCCTCTTCTCACCAAGCTATAAAATAACAAGATATATAATTTACGAAAGAACCATACTAATAATGGTGACAAAAGACTGATCACTGATCTTGAAAATTGATAAGAATCTCTTAAGACTCTTACCAGGTACCTTTTATAATTTGCCCCTCATTGTAGTATGCATGGACTTGTGCGTGGAGAAAACATGGAGCTTGGAAGAGACTCTGATACTGGCAGCCAGGTATGTTTTAGCCATCTTGTAGTAGACTCCTCTGTAAAGCATATTTTATTCACATGTTACCTCTGGTTTTGTTAATGGCCGATTAGGTGAAATATGTTGTTGAGCTTGCTCGCGCTTTGGCCAACACGGAAGGTGTCCACAGGGTCGATCTCTTAACACGGCAGATCAGTTCACCAGAGGTTGACTCAAGCTATGGAGAGCCTGTTGAGATGTTATCATGCCCACCAGAAGGTAGCGGAAGCTGTGGTTCCTACATTATCCGAATCCCTTGTGGTTCCTGGGACAAGTACTGTCACATAACACTCATCCGAACTTATAAAAAAGAAGAGTTAGTTTCTCTAATACTCATGTTTTTCAAATGCAGGTACATACCAAAGGAGTCACTCTGGCCTCATATTCATGAGTTTGTTGATGGGGCATTAAATCACATAGTGGACATAGCAAGGTCTCTGGGAGAGCAAGTGAATCGAGGGAAGCCTATATGGCCTTATGTAATTCATGGCCACTATGCATATGCAGGAGAATAGCTGCACATTTGGCAGGGACGTTGAATGTGCCGATGGTGTTAACTGGTCACTCTTTGGGAAGAAACAAGTTTGAGCAGTTGCTTAAACAAGGGAGAAATACCAGAGAGGATATCAACAAAACATACAAGATCATGAGGAGAATAGAAGCTGAAGAGCTGAGCTTAGATGCAGCAGAGATGGTGGTGACGAGCACACGGCAAGAGATTGAGGCGCAGTGGGGACTGTATGATGGGTTTGATATCAAGCTTGAGAGGAAGCTCAGCGTTAGAAGACGGCGTGGAGTCAGCTGCTTTGGCCGATACATGCCACGAATGGTGAAACTTGGTGATTATTTACTGAGATCTCTTATTATTGCAACATTTTACATAGTTTATAATTCTTATCCCACAATCATTTTAAAATGCTTATCTATGGATTAGTAATATAAAAAAAAGTTTCTAATGGTATAGTTACATGACCTTCAATATTTAAATTGCCAGTATTAAATATATAAATTTTAAGAAATTTTCACTTCCTAATATTTTGGATTTGCCATTCGATTATTACGACATATAACAAATATATGGACATATTAAAATTAAAAAGCTCATTTCCAAAATTATAATTAGAAAAGTAATATGACATTATTCTACATAAGAAGCAAATGGAGCTCAACGACAAAGAGAAGAAAACCAATTCTAACTGATTTCTGTCTTCTTTAGCTGAATAATATGTATGTAACACTATTTTAAAATAACATATTTTTTTGCTATCTCAATCTAAAAATTAAAAAGTAATATCATTTAGACAATAATGTATAAAGTAACTGAAATATTAAAATATAACATGAGAGAACTAAAAAGAAGTTAAAATATAAAATACATCTAAATAAAAATTAAAACCTAACATTTACATAATAATTTCAAAAATTAAAAGGTGTATCCATTTTTTTTTAACAACTATTTATAATGTAAAGTTACAATAAGAGTATAATTACAGAATTACATTTAAATGCAAAACTACAATTGTAAAACATTGAAGCACAAAGAACAAGATCTGAAGAACTTCTCTTCTGAACTATCTTCTTTCTTCATATGTAACACCATCTCCATTTGATTACCATCTTTTTGATGAAAAACCAAATTCTTCTTTGTAGATTTCTATGTTGTATAACATTGACCAGATTCCAAATAGGATCTATAGATATTTTTGGAGAAAAAAAAAATCTAATTTATTGCTTCTTTCAAAAGATAGAGTAAAAGAATCTGCCAATCTTCAACGATTATAAGAACATCGCCATACAACAAAGAAATTGCATTTCTAGTGAAGAACCACCAATAAATATTTTGAATTATAATCTTCAAAATTTTTAAATACCTCTGGTTGCATCACCATGGAAAATTCCAAACTACGATTATGAGATTGTCCATCATCTTGGAACTCCCCGTCTTCGATACACTTTTTCCATGGTGGTTTCCATGGTGATTGTTTCCAAAGCAAAGCGATTAGGATAAGTTCCTTACTGCTTGAATCTGGATTCAACACAAATGTGTTTTTTGTGTTGTCATTGAACATGACAAAATACATGTCGGAGATTGCAACAACAAATTGGGGAAGATGATGAAAATCCAATTTGCCGTAAATGGATATGGTATTATTCAAGAAGAATAAAATAAAAAGAAACAGTTTTGATACAAGATCGTGATATGCCATCACGGAAACACACTCTTTTGATCTTCTTTGAAAGAGGAAAATGATAATTGGTTAAGATTTGGATATCATAAAAGAAAGAGAACGAGTAACAGGAATGGAATCAAACGAAACTCTCAGTGAGAATTGAAGAAAAGTGGAGTTTGTGGCAATCGCCTTCATGATCGCCACATAACTGTTTTCCCACACCTAGACCTTTTCCATTATATCCATTATCTCACATGAATAGAAGAAGATAGATACATATTATAGAATCTATTTTACAAAAACTTTTTCTATGTGAGATAGTGGAAAAGCTTTTAAAACTAAAGTTATCCATCTATACCAATAACTTAAGCCCAAATAGTAAAATAAAATCAGTTAAAAACCGGTCAAACAAAAAAAATTTAAATTAAAATAAAATTAAATACTATGTTTCTATCTTACTAAATTTTCATTCGACATTTTCACACAAATCAAAATATGATTGAATTCATGTTTATCCCTAATAATTACATCTGATTAACTAATATTCATTAAGACATTAAGGTATTTTTAAGATAACAATCATTTTTTTTACAATAAATACTTAGTTAAATAGGTATAACCTTTAAAATTATATTGACATTATAAAATGACACAGTTTGTGTAATAAAAAGGAAAATTTCAAACAAAGTCATTTATAAAACCAAATTTACATACACATATAAATTTAATATAAGCATAAAATTAGGTTCAAACATAATTCTCAAAAACTTAACTAAATCTTTAAATTTATCAAGGAATTCAAAAGAAAAATAAGAGTCAAGTTCTCTACATGAATTAGAATTACACCATCTATATGTAGCTCAAAATATAATAATCATTCGTGTTGTTTTTGTATTCTAAACTAAGTTTTGGTATTTTAGTAAACTAATTTAAAAACTTATTACGAAAATGCAGGAACGAAACTATATCATAAACAACACATAAAAATATGGATTATTTTATTATCACACAAGAAAATTAATTATGAATTTTTAAAAAGTAATTATCCGCGCGTAGCGCGGAAAAACGATGTAGTATATATAAAAGGGTTTTCCCTCTTCTTAGGATACCACCTCAGAAATTACTACAAGGAGAATGCGACATGTGTCCTCTTCAGAGAAAATATCCTCGCTTCTGTTTTGTTTTCTATTGGGCCTGGATGACATAATTATTTGTGGACCTTTAATCATATTATTTGGTCTGATTAACAAACAAAAGCGACGATGTCGACTTTCCCTTCTTCATGAGAAGTCGCCATTGATTATTAGGGTTCATCATCTACTGCAAACTGTGATTAGGGTAGACAACAACAGAGGTTCTGAAAGGTCGTGTGAGACATGTCTTCGTGAGGAATGTATGCATCTAGATCGGTACATGTCGTTTGCGTTTCTTCTTCTTCTCCTAACAGTAACGTGTTGCATTGATTCAATGCCCTTAAGGCCTTTTTAACTCTTTTGACTCATTCAATGATTCTTATTTCTCTTCCAGCTGGTGTATCTCCACCTATATAAAGGTAAGGTCTCATACCTTGAATATCATCCTCACAATTCCTCATAGCACTAGAAATATTTTTTCAGTAGAATGTTTTTTTTTCTTCTCATTGACTGTTTTTTTTCTTCTCATTGACTATCAACACGTCTACAAACTGAGAAAAGTAACTCCAAAGTGATGGTTCAGCTGTGTATAAGAAAAAGATTACAGTACATCTTTTGGTTTGTCCTTTTCTCCGTGTGAAGTTGCTTATAGTAAGACAGAGAGTGGAAAGAGCTTGACACAATTTTAGCCTGACTTCCAAGAATTTACTGCTAATAGAGCAAGAGACTGGGGAAGAGATAGAAGAAGACGAAGTCGAGAAGATCAACAGTGCAAGAGAATTGCTTCAACCTGTGTGGACGTACCATGTCTATGAAACCGGAAGGTTCAACATGGAGGAATGCAAATATATAGGATGGGGAAATGATGGTTTGGAGTTGTGCTGTGTTCTAATATATTTAGTCGAGATGAGAGTATGTACTTTTGTAATGTTAAGATTCATTGTCATGATTGATGACTTACCAATCTGCATTTTTTTAATGAAAAGGTTATATTGCATTCTTTTGTTCGGTTTTCCTCTTGCACATTTGTGAATTTGATCAAATGTGAAATAAGAATTTGTAGTGGTTAAACATTCGTGGAACATTTGTTTTTTTGTACCGTTAAAACTACAATACAATTATGATAAAAATGGCAGTTCCTCTTGATGTGTGTTATAACATGTAACTAGACACTATTTCGTTCTATATTTCCAAAATCACTATACAGTTCTTTTTCCAACATATATATAAGCGTAAAATTATCATATCCACATAAATATATATTTTTTCAAACATGTTTTAGTGATTTTAAAACACTTACTCACAATTACATAAATGAAGTTTCATATTCTTATCTTACCATATTAAACAGCCCTAATAAAGAGTAATAAAACAATAGAAATGAATAAAAATAAATGTTCATTTTCAAATTTGGTGAGGAATAAAAAGAAATAAAAAGAAAAATTATACTGGTTTAATTTTATAGGAATGATGAGGAACTGAATATTCTTCCTCTTTCTCTTTGTCACAATTCAAAACCATAATGAATGTAGATCTCTATGCAATAAAAAAAAAAAATTGTCTTCAATCCATCGTTATCCATCCTACGATCCGATGGGTCCTTTTTACCCTTCGCTTCACAATCTCATCATGGTCCGTCGGTCTCCGTCTAAACTTTTTTCTATTATTTCAATAATTGTATAAGTTTGTCCCGTTACGTTATTTATATTTTTCTACACCATGATGAATATGATTCCATTTATTTATTCGACCACATCTATCTCCGTGTATTGACCGCCTCATCAATACATCACCACCCAATCAGATTTCGCCCTTCACAAAAAATACATGACCGACAGGTTATTTTAACTAAACCCAAATGATTTGCTTTTCGTCCAAGCAATTTTTTGGTCAGGAGAGGAAGACTCAGGCTTGGCCGACTTAAAGTTTCCTTTCATATCTCCTCATCGCCGAAGATACTTATATAATGAGTCTTCTCAACCTTGCAAACAGTTTCTTCTTCCTCATCGCCGGCTTAGGATTTTCTTCTCAATAGAGATCTATCATCTTCTCTAATCTTAGAAAACCCTTGCCTCAGCGATCAATCTAAACACTTCATCAGGTTAATTTTTGTTTTATTCAATTTTAAACTCATTGCATGTGTCTTCTCTTAGTTTTCGGATTTTCAATTGTTTTTTTTGAAGCAGTTTCTGATAGATCGGCTTAGATTCGTATGATTCCGAGACGTTTTGATTTGTTTGTGTTGAATTGATTGACTTCTCGTGTGAGTTTTGTCCACGATCTGATCTTTTCAGGTCTCTAATCGATGAAACTGCGATTGACTTGTTTTCCATGTATTAACTCTTTGTTGATATTTGTTTGGTTTGTTATGCAGAAACTTTCTTGCCGGCGGCTGTAGAAACCGAGTAAAAACGGTGGCGTTTCGTCTCTGATTGTGTGTTATTTTTATGACAAAGAAGATGAACACACTTGTATCTACCCATCAGAATCTAACTGTTACCGTTGGGTGAGTTTGCTTGTTTTGATTGATTTAGGCTATGTATTTTACAGACAAATTCGGTAACTTTTCTTTCTTCTCAACTGTGATGTTCATTTAGTGTAGGTTGGTTTATAACTTATTTATTTTCTGGTATAAAGTAAGGGTTGTCTTTGTTATGGTTCTCTGTACTTTTTGGTAACACACTTTTTATTTTATTTGAATGAGTGCGTTACTTGTTGTATTGCAGCACATGATTATCTAATGGAGAACAAACTCATGAAAAGACTGTTCATGGCTTTGCTAACTTATGTAAACTCTAGCAAATGTCTCTTGTTGCAGCTTACAAGAGATATACCATGATGGTTGTTGTCTCCTAGATTTATACTGACTTTTATCTTGTTTGTTTCGTTTTTGTTATGCTGGCGTGAGAAGTGTTTCATGGACTCTATTTTCCGTACTTGAAACTTGTAATGTTCTTATTTAGTATCTTACCCATTTCCATTTCTTTTGTGCAGTGCTCTTTAATGCTGTCGGCAAGGCACTATCTTTAGGACTGACAGCGAGTTAGAGTTACAGTTGACTTTTTCTTTCAGGGTTATAGGTTTAGCACTGTTAATAGCTAGAAATGGATACCAAGATCGTCAAGGTGTTGGATAGTAGGCGCGAAGATGGTTTCAGTAGAAAAAGGAAGCACGCAGGAAGCTATGCTGCATATGTTACTGGAGTGTCATGTGCAAAGCTGCAAGATGTTCCTCCACCGAACCCGCTGAGCCAAGTTCCCGACAAAAGAAGGAAATTGGAAGGTTCTTACGACAATCTATCTGGGAAGTCGCTGGTCAGATACTACTCTTATTTTAAGAAGACCGGAATTGCAAAGCGTGTTATGATCTACGAGAAGGGTGACTGGAATGATTTGCCTGATCATGTTATCTGTGCCATCCGAAATGAGTTAAATGAAAAGAGGGCTACAATTGAGTTCGAGTGGTGTGGTCATCATTTTCTTTTGGATTTCTTGCACATGCATAGGCTAGACTTGGAAACAGGGGAAAAAACTCCGCTTGCATGGATTGACATTGGAGGCAAATGTTTTTTCCCTGAAATTTACGAGAATGATGAAAGGAACGATAACTGCAATCACAACAACAGCATGGAATATTCGAAACAATATGCCCCGCATGAGATCAGGTTGCGCCTTGAGATTGATGTTAATGCTGGAGAGCCGAGGTTGAATTTGGAGGAGTGCAGTGATGAATCTGGTGACAATATGGATGATGATCCAGCCGAGGATAGCTGCAGCCGCAGAGTTGAAGCTGCTGTTTCGAAATGGGATGAGACGGATGCTATAGCAGTCTCTGGTATCAAGCCTGCTGGGGCCGAAGGACTTGAAAAAGATGCAGTAAAAAAGATGTTTGCAGTAGGTACAGCTTCGCTAGGGCATGTGGCGGTGCTGGATGTGGGCCGTTTTTCAAGTGAGATTGCTCAAGCTCGCCTAGAGCTTTTCCAAAAGCAGGTTGAGATCACCAAGAAACATCGAGGGGACGCAAACGTTAGATACGCATGGCTTCCTGCAAAGAGAGAAGTTCTATCTGGGATTATGATGCAGGGACTTGGAGTCGGAGGAGCATTTATTCGAAAGTCCATTTATGGTGTTGGGATACATTTAACTGCTGCAGACTGCCCTTACTTTAGGTTTCCCTTTCTCTGTCATTGATTCTGCCTCATATTAATTTCTTTTTTCCAATAATTTAGTTCATGCATTTTAAGCTCCTATCTCCAGTAGATAATTTACTGAAAAACTTGTTTGCAGTGCGAGGTACTGTGATATTGACGAAAATGGAGTACGGTACATGCTTTTGTGCCGTGTAATAATGGGGAACATGGAACTTCTTCGTGGTTATAAAGCACAGTTTTTCTCTGGCGGTGAAGAATATGACAACGGAGTTGATGATGTCGAGAATCCCAAAAATTACATTGTCTGGAACATCAATATGAATACCCATATATACCCTGAATATGTTGTTAGGTTCAAGCTGTCTGTTCCCCACAATGCTGAAGGTGATTAATTTGTTCCCTTTTCATTCCTCACATATCATCTTCTTTCACAAATTAAAATCATAACTGATGACGCATTGAAAGAGAGAAAGCTTAGAGATCTGGCTGAAGCTCAGGTCTCAACTGATAAATTTATTAAGACAAAAGAGGATCCATGTGTGATAAAACCTAACGACCTCCGGGTTATTATACACGTTTGGTTTCAAGAGACAAGTCTCTGATTTAATCATCCGGGGGTCGGATGGAGATACTCACGCTCTCATGGGTATTTCGATCCATCAAATTCTGTTTGGTGCAATATAAGAAGTCGATGACATACACTGGTTCCTGCAGGTAATTTGGTTGCTAGGCATGATAACTCAGGTGTCACTTCGGAAGGACCCAAGGATCTTCCTCCACAGCTAGACTTAAACGTGAGTTTGGTTATTACTGTTCTTCTTTCTTTGATCTTAACAAATATATTGAACAGTTAATCTTTGTTTGCAAACAGGGACCTGAAAGAGGTTCAGGGAGCGCAAACAGTGTGGGTTCAAGCACTACGAAACCGAAATCTCCATGGATGCCTTTTCCTACTCTGTTTGCAGCAATCTCGCATAAGATTGCCGAGAAAGACATGTCTTTCATTAATGCTGACTACCAACAACTGAGGGTAAAAAACTGATTTGAGAGAGTTTGAGAAATGCATGAGAGTAGAAATTTATAAAGAAAAATCTGCTTCGCAGGAAAAGAAGATAACGCGAGGAGAGTTTGTGAGGAAGCTGCGGGGGATTGTAGGAGATGATCTGCTTAGGTCCACCTTAACAGCTCTTCAAAACCAGGCAAGTTACTATTCGTAGTAGAGATTTTGTTATAGAAAGTGAATTCATAAGCTAACGAGAGGGAGAGTTATGTTTGACTACAGCCAAAGTTAAAGAAGGAGATTCCTGGAAGCGTCGAGGAAGGTGCAGGTGGGTTGTAAAGTAAAGTGGGAATGAGATAATGACGACGAATATCAAAAGGAAGCTGCTTTATATCTATCTACCCTGCCTTTGCGGTTCTCCTTTTGACTTTTATAATATAAAATATTTAAGTATATTAGTAGACTTTTGGGTCTGGGTCGGGAGTAAGAGTTGAATGTGCCGACTATTCTGTCGTGGAAAAATCCTTCTTCAAAGTCTGTTGATGACGTTGGATCTTTTGCTTTTCTTAGCTGCAAAACATTGTTGTGAAAGTTGTTGAATCTTGACGAAAACGTGGTCCTTGAGTGTATCACGAAACTTAACTACTTTTTGGTCATTTATATCATGTATTGAGATTGATGCTTCCATCCCTAACCCCACTTGTAGTTTTACGTTGTTGCCTTGTTGGGCTCTAACGTTGTGGCAAACAAGCGACTCGAGCAAAGCCAAGATACGTTGGAGACATGGAGATAAACACAGCTTTACTCTTTTGTTCAAAAAAAAAAAAAAAAAACACAGCTTTACTCTAAAGCAAACTAGGCTCCTCGTGAAAGTGTGTGAACAAGGGAATGAGTAAAATATCTAGAAAAGATATGATGAACACGACAGAAAACAGTCATTTAATAAAGATAAGATTCAGTGTCCTTTTGATGATGATAATGATTAGAACCAAGAGCCAAAGTCTTTAACTCATAAAAATCCCAGTTAGAAGACTTGCTTTTATAGCATATATAACGTAGGTAGTTGAAGACTTGCTTTTATCGTATACTAGATACATGTGCATTGCATACGAGTTTGTTTGGTGTTTTAATTTTTACAAAGAATATAAAACTAATAAAATATTTTATAGTTTTAAGATTTTTTTTGGCATATGATGTGTGATACTTTTTAGAATCAAGAATTCATTTTACCACACAAGTTTTAGTTAATATTTGTATTTTAATAATCTCTACTTTCATTGATGTTTTAATATTACAAAGAAAATAATAATTAAAAATGATTTATATTTTTATGATTCTTTTTGCATATGTTGTGTGAGAAATATTTCAAAATTAAGAATTTATTTTCTCATAAATTCTATTAATATTTGTATTTTAATAATTATCACGCTAAGTGAATTGTTATTAACTTTGTATTCAATCCTATACTGATTTGGAAACTTTATATTATATTATAAACTCAACCCCACTCCTTAAATATTAAGTCATAAATAGTAAGTACTAAATCCTAAACTTAGATGTTATGGTATTTTTCTTTGAATAGGTATTGAAAGACTGTATTCAAGTTATAGTATTTCAAACAATTTATTTAGTGTTTTCGAGTTTGAATGTGTAGTTTTTTTCCTATGTGTACTTTATAATTATTTTCAAATTTATTGCTTCTCATTTTCTAGTAACAATAAAGTCTTTTTATTAAACTTATCATTTATTAATTAATTTTTTTAATTCACCATTTTTATAATATATTTTCATAATATTAATTTAACTCAAAATGAATTAGAAAAATTACTACATATAAAACAAAAATAATGTAATAAGATGAAGGTGAAGCTTGATTTTTTTTGACCAAACACTATAAAGATCACTTACGGTAATAATAATACTCCCTCCGTTTCGAATTAGATGTCATTCTAGAGAAAAAAAATTGTTTCAAAATAAGTGTCGTTTTAAAGTTTCAAGGTAAAATTTATTAGGTTTATATGATATTCTATTTTTCTATTGGTTGAAAAGTGGTTAGGTGTATAGGCAATTGTGTTTTTATCTTGAAAATATGTAAAATTAAATGTTTCCTTAATCTTTGTGCAAAAACCTAGAATGACAACTAAAATGAAACGGATGGAATAATAAAGATCACATGTGTCTGATTTTTGTATGACCAAACACATATAAAGACTAACATGATAACATACTAATTTTTGATTTTTGTTAAGTAAACTATTTCAGTTTATGTTTTTAGTCACTTTTTTAATTACTAATAAATAAGTTATTAAAATTTTCTTTTTTGTTAGGATTAAAAAAAAAAGAAAACATTCTATTTATTTTTTGTTTGATGTATAGATGTGAATAATTGTAATTCCTTTTGGTTTAAGATTTTTAATCATAAAATTAACTATTTAAATAGAAAATTGATTATTCATAAAAAATATATTTGAATAATTATCCTACAAATATTTTTTTGTTATGGATTTGAAAAAAAAAGAAAACTATAGTTAAACACTTTTTTACAATTTTCTTATGTTGAAGACTTATCTAAAAAAGACAATTACTACCAAATATTTGCTTATCTTTCCTTTAGAATTTAAGAAAAGGAAAATTAGTATTAAATAAATCATTCTGAATTTTTTTTTTTTTACAAAACAAAAAAAAAACATTTTTAATATCTTATTATATATCTGATGAAATATTTTAACACATGTAATGTTTGGAAAGGAAAATTATTATCTAATATTCTTTTACAATTATCTATTCTTTAAGATTTTAGAAAAGGAAAATCGGTTTCCTTCTAAAATTGTAAAAAGAAAAACTACAATTACACATTGTTTACCTGTTTTTTTACTTTTTTAACAATTTTTTTTTTTTAAACTTCAAAATTCGTTTTATCTTAATACATATTTTTTTTAATCATGAGATATTTTAATACATGTCACAATATTAAAAGGAAAATTACTATTGTTACTATCAAATATTTTTTTTGTAAATATTGTGGGAGTCGATTTCACCCTACTGTCAAATAAATCGTAAAAAAAGAAACTTCGGGAAAACCCTAAGTTTCCAGAGGAACCGGCTATCTGCGAGAACCGCACAACGAAAATAAGATGACGAAAATACTTAGAATTTAAATGAGCATAAACGAAAATAGAGAGCAAAGAGGTTCTTATTCCGAATCTGCGTTGAACTGGTACAAAAAGAATCGCCGAAAGCGTAAGAACTAGAAAACCCTAATTGAGACGCAGCTCGCTAACAGAAAAACGGAAATATTCCTAAATGCTAGTTTTGGTGGTGAGAGCTCTGAATTTCGTGTGTGTGCTTCTGCCGTAGACCTCCTCTTTATATAGTCCTCGTCTTGGCTATCCGATCTTTCCATTTCGCCCAGATTTGACTAAATCGGGAATTTTCCATTCTTCTCGATCCTTCCTTTTCTTCTGCGGAAATCTTCTATTTCTCTTCAAACCTTTCTTCTATGTTTAAACTTGACTTTTATTTTCTTTCTGCGAGTAAACCGTCAAAACGTTATCAAATCTGCGGGTTTAATTCCGTTGAAATCGCGAGATGGGTTTTTTATCGCGTTTTAGGTCCTTCCGGGCCGTTTTGCGATAAAAACCGTTTTCTGACTTTTTACGGGATCGTTTCCTGATCTGACGTCGTTTTTAATAAATTTCTCGAGTTAATCGCAAAGTTTTACGATTTACTCGACTTTTCATTAAAAACACCTTTTTTACGACTTACTCGACGTTTTTTTTATTAAAAGCGCGTTTTTATGATTTTAACGAGAAATCTCGAATAAATCGTATAGTTTAGGCAATGTTTGGTGTTTCGTTTAACCTTTGCCGTTTTATACGATTTCCTCGAGTTCTTTCCGAGAAAACGAAGTTTTACGATTTTTATCGTAAAACTCGAACGGTAAGTCGGACCGAGATGGAACGAGAGATATTTCGGCCGTGGTTTAGAATGCGACCTTGTCGAAAGACATAAGTTTCGAGTCGGGAATGCGGGAAATCGAGACGCGGAGTGGCCGGGAAGTTTTTTAGTTCGCCCATCGGCGTACTAAGCGGGGCGCGGCTTAGTACGCCGATGGGCGAACTAGTCATGCAAGTTTTAGATCGCCCATCGGCGTACTAAGCCGGGCCCGGCTTAGTACGCCGATGGGCGAACTAGAGAATGCTTCTTTGATCGCCCATCGGCGTACTAAGCCGGGCCCGGCTTAGTACGCCGATGGGCGATCTAAGGAGTGACTCTTAGATCGCCCATCGGCGATCTAGAGAGTGTTTCTTAGATCGCCCATCGGCGATCTAAGTCGGGTCCGGCTTAGATCGCCGATGGGCGAACTAGTTGCGACTAGTTCGCGTTTTACGGCTTTTTCGGTTTTTTGCGGTTTTTTGCGGTTTTATAAAACGATTCTCGAGTTTTATAAAACGATCTTCGGATTTCATAAAACGACTTTTGAGTATTATAAAAACGATCTTCGAGTTTTATAAAACGATTCTCGAGTTTTATAAAACGGTTTCTCGAGTTTTATAAAACAATTCTCGAGTTTTATAAAACGGTTTCTCGAGTTTTATAAAGCGATTTCTCGAGTCTTATAAAACGGTTTCTCGAGTTTTATAAAGCGATTTCTCGAGTTTTATAAAATGATTCTCAAGCTTTATAAAACGATTTCTCGAGTTTTATAAAACGATTCTCGAGCCTTATAAAACGATTTCTCGAGTTTTATAAAATGATTCTCGAGCTTTATAAAACGATTTCTCGAGTTTTATAAAACGATTCTCGAGCTTTATAAAACGATTTCTCGAGTTTTATAAAGCGATTCTCGAGCTTTATAAAATGATTTATCGAGTTTTATAAAACGATTCTCGAGTTTTATAAAATGATTCTCGAGTTTTATAAAACGATTCTCGAGTTTTATAAAACGATTCTCGAGTTTTGTAAAATGATTTTTCGAGTTTTATAAAACTATTCCTCGGGTTTTATAAAACTGTTCTTTTTGTATTTTCGCGGAAAGTCTTGGCTATTAATTCCGTCGTACCGATTTTGACCCCAATAGTTAGCCCCCCAGCTCGTAAGAATCGTGAGCCTTTAGCGTAAGGTTTTTGCGAGTGGTTAACCAGTTTTAGTTAAGTTAGGCGGAATTAATAGTCGGAAAGGTCCGTTGAAAGTGATCTTTCCACTTTCCAGGGAGCG